TCTTTGAAAGGTAAACATATTTAACCTCTAAGAAAAATGTTTCAGTTTAAATTCGTTAAAATTCTTCAAACATTTAGTAGCACCAACCCTTATCAGTTAAATTTAAGTACTAGCCAATGTATAAAGATTAAATATCTGTATACCAGTACAACTGTAAATATATTAACACTGATTTCATTATTTTACAATTATTTGATAATAATAAAGTATTTCATGAGAAAAACAACCCCCGACAATTTTAGTAATTGCAAAGGAAAAAGGTAGACTACAGAATTTTCTGTATAATGTTACTTCCATATTTGACAACAGTTCAACAGTTAATGAAGTTTTAAAAATGATTTTCCTTATTCTATTTCCTCTAAGCAGCAGGTCATATTAAAATGGATCAAAAATAACAGGTACTTTACTTATATTGACTATGGCTAACATTGACTATGGTTTAACATTTCCCCCCTATCTTCCTTAGCTCCTTGACCTATTTATGGTTTGGGACTGGTCTACTTACCTAGCTGATTATGGACAGCCAGCTTCTAAGTACCTTCGGGTGAATCCAAACACAGCCCTTACTCTTTTGGAAAAGTGAGTATATTCTAAGAACTTTTTAAAAATAATATTTTAGCGTTTTATGTTTCAATGATAGTTGAAAAAGTAGAGACTTGCAGCAAAACAGAAATAGCTACATGAAGCTTAAGAACTCAGTCCCAGTTAATGACCAAAACTTAAAAGCTGCATTCTTTGTTGCCCTGCAATGTTGGTATAGTTTTATATGAGATTGCTGTTTGTGTTGATATGAACACAACATATTTCCTGTTATATCCTCAACAGCAGGCTTAATTGGTCTTAGAAATGTTTCTTGAAGATGTGAGAGTTAAAACTACTTTTTTAAAAATTACTATAACACAGTAAAGAAGGTATTTACATTTTATAAAAGGTGGCTGGGAATTGGAATGTTTGCCCACAGTGCTATATAAAACCTACTATTATGAGCTTGGATTTTCTACAGATAGAAAAATATGTTATCTGAGGGAAAAACAAAAAAAAAGTATGTTATATGAAAAATTAATATAATAAAACTGAAGTCACAGGGTCTTTACTAGTGCATTTTGTCCAATCAGTAACACAAATTTAGCTGTATCTTTTTCTTTTATAACATGACAAATTTTTTTTCATTCATTTATAATTATTTTTAAAATTTCAATTTCTGAATTTAAAGTATATATTATTTTCCCACATATAAAAATATCTCCACTTTTTTGATTTGAGAAAACAAAACAAACTCTAAAATAAACGTAAATTTATTTTACAATGCCATGAAACACCAAAAAAAATTACTTGCTTTAAATTTCTAATGTCATTTTTCCTTTCATATTGTCTTGCTCTGAATGTGATTTGCAGAGCCCATGGAGGGTATGTATCTTAGCATATTTTATGGAATGATATTAGAAAGTAGTAGGGCATTAGAAAACTTAACAGACATTAGATTTATATACTAATGCAAAAACACTATATAGAATGTAAAATATAGCTTATTAGTTTTTTTGTGTGTGGTTGCTATCTCTGTAATTTTATTACTACCTATTTTTAAGCATATTTTTCAAGCATAGGATTAGTGTGAGATAATTCAGAGCATACTAAGATACTAAGATATTTTACTAGTGATGGCATAGTTTTTAATTTCCTTTTACTAAGCTTCTTCATTCACATATATTCCTAGGATGAAGGATACTAGCAAAAAGAACAATATATTTGCTCAGTTCAGGAAGAACGATCGGGACAAACAGAAGTTGATAGAGACAGTCGTGAAACAGCTGAGAAGTTTGGTAAATGGTATGTCCCAGCACAGTTAGACCTTACATCACTTGTATGCAAGATACCTACCATATCTGTTACGCTACGTTGATCTCTAACAGGCACTGGTCATGATGTAGTAATTTGCAGAATTCAAAAATACGGTAGAGAAAAGACACTGGTCAGAACTTAAAGAAACAATAACTATCATTTATATGGATTTTTAATTGAATACTATTTTATATATGGAAAACATGACCTTTTTGATGTTTAGGGGAAAAAAGGAAAAACTGTAATATATAAATCACATTAAACATGTGTATGATACTGATTTTAAATACATTGCAAAATCTTATGTCTATATATAAGTACTTTTTTTTCTATTCAAAGTTGAATGATTTTTTTGGTGTGTGTTTTCATCAGCATCTGATTTTGGAATGCAGTCATGTCTGATATGAGGGTATCTCATTATCATTTTCTGACTTTTAGCTCTTATTTCACCTCATTTTCTATTTCTGAGGGGGAAGTAGACAAATCTTTAAAGGTTCCTGAAATCAAACTTGATTTAACTAAGTGAGAATGTAAATTATTTGTTCTTGTTGAGAGGTTTAATTTAATCATGATGAATATGAAGAAATGGTGTTTGGATTTTCTAAAGATGCAGTGTTGTTTCTGTTCATCAGGGTTAAGATTTGTAAGTATATTGTTTGCAGCTGACCCCATTCTAGGATTTATTTGGTTTGGTTCAAGTTAAAAGAGAGCACAGGAACTAATGGGACTAACCACTTCAGGTGCAGCTTCTGCTAGGGTAGATATATTCCTGGACACATAGCTGCCACAGGGGTCAGATTACTTTCCTCACATAGCAGGTCTCAGTACTTTATCCTCACTTTAGAAATAAGCCAAACCAAATGAACTCTGGAAACCTAAAACAAATGTACATTTTTTTCCTTTGTGTAAATTACTGTGGTCCCAATGGTAATATTAGTCTGGTCCTTATTTTCTTTGTATTTATGCTGAATACTTCTACATTTTTAGGATTTATGCCTGTAAGCAACTTATACTTGACTCTGTAAAATAAGTATAAAGAATTATATGTACATTTCTTGATTTTGTGATGAAAAATTAAAAAGGTTGAGCAAGTTGTTGAAAATGTGTGGCTGTTGTATGTGTTCAGAGCTTCCGGGTTTAAAACAACAGCTTCCTTTAGACAGGCTCTATCACTCCCTACTTACTGGAATGGGAGTGAAGCCAGAAGAAAGAAAACAATCATTTATTTTCTTGACCATCTCTTATCCTTTTCTTTCACATAAAAGAAAAAATACACGACATGGAAAACCTGGTAAGTCTTAAGACAAAATCTGGAAGCTACGAGAGGATCAGTGAACAGCCAGCTCTCTTTGCAAACTGTGCAATGTGGCTGACCCTGGCAAGCCTTACAGGCTCTCCAGGGCGTGCAGGACTTTCCCAGGCTTAACTGAGGTGTGGGGGTTCTAAGACCGCAGCCTTTGCGTTGCTCGAGCAGGCCCCTGCGTTCTCACCTGTGCGATGATCTCGAGCAGTTCACTTTCCTCTTCTCAGTAAAGGCGCTGCACTTACCTCACTCACCCACCCACCCTCGGGTTTTGCTGTAGGGACAGGAGCTCACTGGGGTATGTGGAGACCTCGGAGAGGACACGGGGAAAAAAAAAACGATGCAACCAGGTACACTTGCTGGTGAGGTGGGGTGGGGTGTGGACCTCGGGAGAATAGCAAACACGAGTTCCATCCTTGAGACAAAGGTGCTGGGAGCTCTCTGTTCCATGTGTGTTTAGGGTGTCTTGGTGAGGTCTCGGGCATTAAAGACACTACACCTTTTGCAGAATTCCTGAAGTGGTAGATCAGAGACTGGAGAGGGGTAGCGGGGGTGCTGGAGAATCTTTGTGGGCGCTTGGGATACCAAGGCAAGCATCAGAGAAAGTAATTTCCCTGAAAGAGAAATGGAGCAAAATGGGAGAAACCCAGCTCTTTAACTCGGAGGGGAGAGGGGCACCTAGAAGCTCGAGGTTGGAGACCCCAGAGGAAGCCTGCATCGGCTCCATGCCCTGGGTTTACCCACCCGCGGAGGCCGGGTGTGTAGAGAAGTTCTGGCGTGAAACCGCTTGCCACCCGCCCCCTCCGCCCGCCTACCCCGCCATCTCCGCGGGGCGAGGCCCCGGCCCAACCGAACGCCAGCGAGCGCCGCAGCGGCTGCCACTCCCTGCTCCTAGCCCTTCTGTGAGCGCGCCCTGCTGCCCACCGCCGCCAATCATTACTCTGCGTGGTGGGTTTTAAATATGCATAAGCGCGTCACTCTGTGTAAATCGGGATCAGTCCTTAGGGAGGGAACCGATATCTATATAAATGTGTCCTGGGTGGACCGAGAAGGGTTAAACGACTGTAGGAGAGCGAGAGGTGGGGTGGGGGTCTGCAGTCCGGATGCAGTCTGGGTGACCGACCCCAGGTTAGCAGCACCGGTGAGTTACTCCTTTCTTTGCCCTCCCTCGCAGCTTTAAAGCACTCAAAAGAGTGCTGACCCCGGGTAGATGTGGGAGGTACCCGCGGATGCCCGGCAAGTGCGTTTTGGAGGCAGCCGGCACCCCAGCAAGGGATTGGCAAATGGCCCAGGAGCCTTCAGATTCTGGTGAAAGCCCTGAGCGCACCGGCCTCGAGGAAGGCAATTATCTCAGACGCGCGTGGTTACTGCCGCCTTCTCAGTGCCAGTCTGATTTTATTTTATTTTATTTTATTTTATTTTATTTTATTTTATTTTATTTTATTTTATTTATGCATATAAGAACGGGGGTACAGGCCAAAAGTGCGGGAGGGTGGGAGGATTCACCAGAGACAGAGTGGGCAGCAGAACAGGCAGATTGACTGAAAACACTGCTGAGGGGAGCAGTGGGCGAGTCAGGAGGTCTGCTGCGCCATGTGGGTATCTCCCTGGCTGGCCAGGGATGGAACGCGTGCTGCAGAGGCTGTGGCTAGCTTCATAGTGCTATGCTTAACCCCTTGCGCCACCAGCGAGGCCCCTAATGCCTGTCTGATTTTAGAGCGAAATCCCTGTTCGATATTATAAATCTTGGTTTTGGTCCCCAAGCCCCAGACCCTTTCCCGACAGAACAGGTGAGCACTGCGCACTGCTGGTGCCCCAGCTCTTGCGCCTCCAGCGACCTGGTCCCCGGAGGATCGCGATGTTTTCCTGGGGATTGAACTGCCTGTCTGTGCTGGGCGCGGCGGGCACCGCTCTTTTATGTGCGGGCCTGCTGCTCAGCCTGGCCCAGCACCTCTGGACCCTCCGCTGGACCCTGAGCCGGGACCGGGCTTCCGCCCTGCCTTTGCCCCAGGGCTCGATGGGCTGGCCCTTTTTTGGTGAAACGCTGCACTGGTTAGTTCAGGTGAGCCGTCCGCAGTCCGTGGTTTCCCGCACCCCAATATGGCGGGTTCCTCTAGGCTCCCACTGGACCCTCCTAGCTCTCAGTGCCCCCAGAGTTCGTAGCCAGTTCTTTCCTGTCGCCCAGGATCCCGGGAAGCATTAAACAAGTCGCACTATTGCCCAGCCGTCCACTGCTTCCTAAAGGGACTGTCTGTCTCCAGTTTGCCCCAGTGCAACTCGCACAAGTCCCGACACAATGGAAGGGTGACCCCTAAAGGGGTTCAAGGAAGGCGTCTAAGGAGTATGTCACTCTGTGCTGCAAGCATAAAATCAGAAGTCTGAGGTGCACGCACATCAGCTGTGAGCTCCTGAGCGCCATTCTGAGCTTCAGTTTCAATTCACCAATGGGAACAGGAACATTTATTGACATTATCTGGGGGTAATCGCGAGGCCCATCTGGGAGTGTTTTGAAAAGAATTATATGCCGGGTCGGGGCAGGGAGTTATCAAGGGGGCAGACTAGACCCCCTGCCTAGGCCCGGGGGAGGGGGGAGCCAGCCCTCCTCGCTCCGCCTCACACGCAGGGATCAAGCTTCCACAGTTCCCGCCGGGAGCGCTACGGGACAGTATTCAAGACGCACCTGCTGGGCCGGCCGGTGATCCGCGTGAGCGGCGCGGAGAACGTGCGCACCATCCTGCTGGGCGAGCACCGCCTCGTGCGCAGCCAGTGGCCGCAGAGTGCGCACATCCTGCTGGGCTCACACACGCTGCTCGGAGCCGTGGGCGAGCCGCACCGGCAGCGGCGCAAGGTGAGCTAAAGCCGGAGGAGCTGGTGGGGCTTTGGGGCCTGTCGGGAAGTTAGGCGCGAGGTTCCCGGGAACCTGTTGTGGGCCAGGCTGGGGCTTGACGTTCGTGGTACACTGTGAACCTGGCGGGGATCCCTGGCTAACCAAGTGGCCTTGGACTAGTCCCTTACCGTTCTCGGCTTTGGCTTATAAAACCAGTACTGGGATTTAGAGGTCCTTTCATTCTCTGGTCCTCTGTGACATAAAGGAAGCGCTGGAAACTCAGACCTGGAGAGCAGGCTGGGAAGACTTCCTGGGGGAGGTGGCAGCTAGTGTCTGAGATCCAGAGGAAATACAGAGAGCAAAAATCAATATGCTGAGGTACGGGTCGCTAGGAAGCGTAGGAAGGGATCGAAATTGGTTTCCTGGCTTCTCTGGCATCGCATTGCAGAGAAGGCCCGCCCAACCCTGATTCCGTGCGCCCCCACACAGGTGCTGGCGCGGGTGTTTAGCCGCGCAGCGCTGGAGCGTTATGTGCCGCGCCTGCAGGGGGCGCTACGGCACGAGGTGCGCTCCTGGTGCTCTGCCCGCGGGCCGGTCGCAGTCTACCAGGCCGCTAAAGCACTCGCCTTTCGCATGGCTGCGCGCATCTTACTGGGGCTGCGGTTGGATGAGGCACAGTGCGCGGAACTGACCCGGACTTTCGAGCAGCTCGTGGAGAATCTCTTCTCCCTGCCCTTGGACGTGCCCTTCAGCGGCCTGCGCAAGGTAACACCGCCTCAGCCCCCCACCTTCGTCTGGGGAGTCCCCCGCTCGGCTAGGTCTCCCAGACGAAGATAGGGTTTCCTCGGCGCGCCCCGCGCGTCATCTTTGTTGGGGATGGAGGCTCAGCTCACTGCGGGGTGGTGGCCTGGTTCGGCAGCGGGTGCGGGGCTGACCTCATCCCGATTTGCTGTGTGACTCTGGGCGGGCCACACACCCTCTCTGAGCCTTGCCAGAGCCGACTTACTCCAGCCCGGCAGCGGCGGGCTTTTCGACATTGAGTCTCGATGGCAGGCGCCTGGCCAGTCGGCCCAGCCCCTCCCCAGAGTGGCGCCTCCTGGCCGGGTCTTCAGCGCCTCCCGGACCTCTGCGAACGGGTGGGAGTGCCAGGGTCGCAGACACGCCCCCCGGCCCAGCCAGGCGCCAGCCAGCATTGGAGGGGGCTGGGTGCAGGCTCAGCCAGAGGCCCCGGGCAGGTCCGCTAGTTTCCGGATCACAGAACTGCGTCCTCTTCAGACTTCAGAGCCTCCGGCCCATCCTAGAGAGCAGCTAGGAGACCCATTCCACCTCCCCTCTCCCCTCAGCTGGGGCCTCTCATAGTACCAACGCTCTGATTTTTAGTCACCTGAATAAAAATAATAGTTTAGGGGCATGTTGTGGATTGATCACCTTGCATACATTTTCTGATTTAACCTTCTCAGTCTGCAAAGTGTAATTATTCTCATTTTATTGATGAAGAAACTGAACTCAGAGGTTAAACGTTTTACCCAAGAGCACACTACTAGGAGGGGCAGAGGCAGGATTTGGCTGAATCTCCTCTTAACTACAAAACCCAAGGGCTCAAAATAGCTTTGCTTGCTTTGCTTGCTCGGGCACACCCACTACCCCATTACCGAGGTAATGCTTAGAACATCCAATAGTTCTGTAAGCCAGAGCTTTTTGGGTGCATCAGGTGTCCACTGCCTCTGCCTGAGCCTCTGGCAGGGAAAGGGCAATGGACTGATTTCACTGGGACAGGGCTCTGTGCCAGGCATGGCACAGCTGTGTGACTCTGTCAATTGCTTGAACCCTCTGAGCCTCATCCTTCCCCCTCAGGAAATAGTAACACTTTGCCTTGTTTCAAAGGGGCTTATGTTGACCAAAAGAGAATGACATGTGGGGCTAGTGGACAATTTCTGAGCATTTGTTGAACTACTATGTGCGAGGTATAGAGCCAAGCTGGGAAACACCAGCACCTCAGGGGAAACAGAGCAGCTCAGGGAAGATTTGTGGGATAGATTGCAGGCCCGGCCCCCTCAGCCTTCCTGCACCCCTCCCTCCCCACCACCTCCCATCAGGGCATCCGGGCACGGGACCAACTTCATCAGCACCTGGAGGAGGCCATTGCAGAGAAACTTCATGAAGACAAGGCTGCAGAGCCAGGCGATGCCCTAGACATGATCATCCACAGCACTCGGGAGCTGGGCCACGAGCTCTCAGTGCAGGAGCTGAAGGTATGTGGCCCTGGAGGTTTCTCCTTCTCCTTTTATGCTCCTAGCAGGCCTCTACACACAAACCCATCCTGTTGACCCACTTGGAGCAATAGCCCTTCTGGGATGAAGGGAAAGGAGACCTTGCTTCCAGTCATGGCTCAGCTGCACCTGCTAGCTCTGAGGCTGGGCCAGTCACTGTCCCTCTCAGTAGGGATACCAAAGGCAAGAATTCCAGGCCCTTTCTTAATGGGTTCTGGCCTCAAACAGCTCCACTTCTCCTCCCTCTTCTCTGAGGCCTCCTGCTTTTGCTTCTGCTGTCCCCCTGTTTATAAAACCCTCTTCACTCCTTTTCCCTACTAATCTAAGGCTCAGGGTCAAACTCAGCATTCTCTTTGGAGAGTGTTCTTCCTCCCAAAATCAACACTGTCCTTTCCATGAGCCATCTTGGCACCTGGCATCTCTGCCTATCTGTTTTGCCACTGCGGATCTTCTACAGAATCAGAACCCCTCCTGGTGTACACACAGAGCACATTTGGTGGAGGTAAGGAGAGCAGCCTTGGAATAGCCCCCAGTGCCTGTTTGAGAATTCTCCCAAAAATGAGTGAGAGGTTGGAGGTGCCAGGATAAATTAGAAATGGGAATATCTCAGCCCTTTGGTAAACAACTCCCATCTTTTTTCTGGGCCTCAATTTCCCATTTTACAACAGCCAGTTACTGAAGGGTGGGGCTCAGCCTTAGTTTCTTCCTGCGAATGGAACTAAGCAGTGGGCTAATAAGTTCAGGAACAGTGAGGGCTGTGAAAGAGGGGTGGGGTGCAAAGGGATGGACAGTCCCTCTGCCTTGGGAGGGCTGGAAAGGGGGTTGTAACCCCCTATAGGTTCTCAGGAAGGACACCGGAGTGCTGAGGTCTCCATTCCAGCCTCCCATCTTGTTCAGATCAGGACAGGCAGTTGTGGACCAGGTTACTCATTCCCACAAATATTAGGTACCTATTGAGTGCCAAGTGCCATGCAGGGACAGATAATACAGCAGGGAACAAAATACGGCCCTGGCCCTCTAGGTGCAGGAGAGGAGGGATACACATTTATGCTATGATCAAAGGAATCTGTGTGCAAACACAAACTATAGGTGTTGGCAGGAAGGAAAACATCAGGATTGGGGCAGACCGAGGCAGGCACTGATGAACCACCAGCACCTGCTGTGCTTCCTATGTAGAGCAGACCAAGAAAAAAAAGGAGCCATGAAGCTGCCCGCCTGTCACAGAGGCTGGCACTACCAGGTGCCCGGCTCCAGGTGCCTCTGTCAGTTCTGTTTTGCAGTGGTGGTCAGGATGCCCACTGAGAGTTGCAGACAGCACTACCCAGGTGGTTAAGAGAACACCTCCAAGCTTGCGTGCTAGGATGCTAGCTTAAGCACTCCCAGCAGCTCTCGAGCCTCAGTTTCCAGTAATTATGCCTCACAGGGTTGGGGTGAGAATGGAATGAATTAATTCACCTAAAACACTAAGAACAGCACACAGAGTAAGTTCCTAGCATTATCTTTGCGAAGCCTTCCTTAGCGAGTGATAGATCCTGGTTTTGCCCATCGCTATATGTGGCTTTCCCAAGAGACAGATTTGAGCTTCAATCAGTCAACCCAGGATCCACGAACGTAGCGCCACGGCAGTACATCCTGGCGGCCTGGCCATTGCGCATCGGCGGCTCTGGGCCCTGTGCGCCTCAGCCATGGAGCCTTGAGGTCAAGGTCCCCACTGAGGGAGACTCAGCGCCGCCGGGGCTGTCTTGCAGGAGTCGGCCGTGGAGCTTCTCTTCGCTGCCTTCTTCACTACTGCCAGTGCCAGCACGTCCCTCGTCCTGCTGCTGCTGCAGCACCCGGCGGCCATCGCCAAGATCCAGCAGGAGCTGGCTGCGCTGGGGCTGGGGCACGCGTGCGATTGCGCGCCCAGGGTTTCGGGAGGCTGCGCTGGGCCCGGGCCGGACTGCGGCTGCGAGCCCGACCTCAGCCTTGCAGCGCTGGGCCAACTGCGCTACGTCGACTGCGTGGTCAAGGAGGTGCTGCGCCTCCTGCCGCCAGTGTCCGGGGGCTACCGCACCGCACTGCGCACCTTCGAGCTCGACGTAAGTGCGCGGCGCTGCGCTGCGCGGTGCCCGCCGCCAGCCTCCTGCCAAGGCGCCGGGGCGGGAGGAGGGCCGCGGTGTTAGGGCCGAAGGAGCAATTCCTTTTCCAAAACCTCGTCTTTCCCGCCTGTAAAATGGGCCGGTCCCTGTTGTGTCTTGCCGGATACACGGCTGAGAGGCTCAAAGCCTGGCTCCTAGGGAGTCGACAGGGCCGAGGAATCCGTGCACTTCAGCTCCTGGGCAGCGCCTCCCCCACTCCCCAAAACACACACACTATGTCCCTTATCTACCTTTCTAGCTCCTTCACAAAATCTAGGAACTGCTCATTCTTAACTGCTCATGTTAACATTGTTAATTAATCCAGGGACTAATCTGAGGCCAGCGTCCTGGGAAACTGGGTAATTAAAATATGGGGTAGAATCTCTTTATGGTCTGAGTAGGGCAGTTTGAGCTGAGCAAGAAGGTTCAGGTGTGGGCCAGCCTTCATCTCTTGGGCTCAGTTTACTCTAGAAGAAAACTGTCTTGGTCCCTTTCAGGGCTGACACTCCAGGTGAGGCCAGGTCAGGGTTGTACAGGGGCAGTGGAAAGCAGTATGGGGGAGTGCAAAAAAGTGCTGCCAAACTAAGGTGGTTTGCCTGAAGTGCTGTCACTGTAGTCCCCCCTACCACCAGTTCCAGTTGACTGGAAGTGGGTGCTCCAGGCAGAGTAAGCGCATCTTTCCTGATGCTTATTTTAACTGCAAACATCAACCCTGGGGCATTGCAAACCAGGGTTGGAGAGCATTGAAAGGACTGGGATTCTGCCCTTCAGGATCTCATCCTGCAGAGAAAGGGTGCTATCTAGTTTCATCCTAAATTGTGGTGTGAAGAGAGTGAGCTTTAGTACAGGATGACACCAGATTGGTGGGCTGACATTTGAACTGGAGCAGCGAACGGTTAGGATGGTGACCACACACAGAGAGAGGGCAGCCCAGACCAAGGTGGGTGGATTTGTGAGATGCTAGCAAGTGTCTTGGATGCTGAATCTTGAAATTGAGACTTCATTCTGCAGACACTGGGTTGCCCTGGGCACTGAATCACCAGGGTGAGCAGAGGACTGGGATCTTAGCTATCAAACTGAGGCCTGGAAGGGAGAGTGAGCTCTTCAGTGATTCCAGTATGTTCTGTCTGCCTGATGAGAACAGACACCTTGGAATCTGTTTAGACCAGGATAGCTGGATAGTCAAGGAAGATGGAAAACATTTTAAAAATGGAATCGGAAGACCCTGGGATTCACAGAGAGAATGTGAAAGTTGCCTTCCAACAATTTAAGGACTCCCTAGTTTAATTCTCCTGTGCACCTTCTTAAATTATGGCTACCAGATCTGATTATTATTGTTCAGATAGTGGGAGAAAGTGAGAGGCAGTTTTCAGCTCAGTGCAAAAAAGAGCTTTATCTTGTTTCTGACCCTAGTGGAAAGGGCACCCGTGCCGTTTTCGTTGTTCTGGCGTAGGCAGCTGATAGGTTCAGGACTAGAATTTCGGATTCCTGATTTAATGCCAGAAGAAAAAAGAAAGACAAGGCCAAAACATTGAAACAAATATTAGTTCACACCTACTGACCACTAATAAGCCAGACTCCTCATTCAAATCCCCACGAGAACAAAACGGTCATTTTTGGTCGCATTTTATCAATTAAGAAATTGAGACTCCGAGGAACTGAGCGTCTAACCCAAGGTCACACAGCTCACTAGAGACGGGGCTGAACGGGGCTGAACTTGATTAAATTGGCTCGAGTTTCCCGATTAGACTGGCATTCCTGCTGGTGTTGGGAAGGCTGCCGGATGCACCCGGGGTGGTAGGTCGGTTCAGACCCGTTTCCAGGTGCCTGGTGGTCAGGAGGTCTCCTCGCCTCCCCACAGGGCTACCAGATCCCCAAGGGCTGGAGTGTGATGTACAGCATCCGCGACACGCACGAGACCGCAGCGGTGTACCGCAGCCCGCCCGAGGGCTTCGACCCGGAGCGCTTCCGCGCGGCGGCCGAGGATGCGCGGGGCGCCGCCTGTCGCTTCCATTACATCCCGTTCGGCGGCGGTGCGCGCAGCTGTCTCGGCCAGGAGTTAGCGCAGGCGGTGCTCCAGCTGCTCGCGGTGGAGCTGGTGCGCACAGCGCGCTGGGAACTGGCCACCCCTGCCTTCCCCGCCATGCAGACGGTGCCCATCGTGCACCCGGTGGACGGACTTCGGCTTTTTTTCCATCCGCTCGCGCCTTCGGCAGCGCAGGACGGGGCGCGCCTGTGACCCGCTGCGCTGCAGAAGGGGACTTGGCCAGAGGCCACAGCGAGCTCGCAGCGCCGCCCACCTGCGGTTTCCCCGGGCCGGGTCGGGCACTTCCTCACTCGCTCCACAAACGGTCAACCAACGCGCATCAGGGTCGGACACTGAGGGAGGAGCGCGAGGCGCCGCCAAGGCGCCGGCGCCAGAGAAGAGCCTCCAGCGCTCCGCGCCCCGAGGAAGCAAAGGTTAAGATGGAGCTTCTGAATCCTTCCCACGATCTGGCTAGAGGGAACAGCCCTTCATCAGACGCTAAGGGGCCTCATTTTCCTGCTCCGTATCCGAGAGAGGGAGCTTGGGCTGCAGGGAGGGTTGCGCCTCGTGGACAGTGTCCGAGACCCAGCGCTTGGGCCGGGACCCGCAGCTTGCCAGGAAGTGGGGTGGGGCAGCGCAGGGAGCGCATCCCTGGTCCGGCTTTGGGCCATAGGAAGACTCACTAAGACGCCTAACGGAAGGCCCTCGGGCAGCTGGCCTTGGTTTGGGGCGTCGTGGCCACTGTGCGCGTCTCAGCGGAAACCCAGAACCGTGCGCGCTTCCGGGGCTCTAAGTGGCTCAGCATCACCGGATTCTGCTGGTGACTTCTTTAAAGAAAAATTTCTACTTCAAGAACACGTTTATTATTCTCGTTTATACAGGGGAAATAAGCACCCCAAAATGTTTCAGACCGGATTATTTTCATGGGAAGTTGAGATAATATAATCCGAGAGGTTTGGGATATTTGTACCCAAAACAGGAAGGTCAAGTAATAGTTTCCTGCCTCTAGTTGAGTGAGGAGGCGAGGGTTTATCTGGGCAAGAGCTTCCTCGGGGAAGGCATGGGGTTGGGGTTAGGGGACACCCAGGAGAGACCCAACCAGTGAATACCCAAAGATGGGCTAGGCTTTTATGCTTCCTTCCTGAGCATAAACCTGGGGGCTGTAAATTATCTCCATAAGCGGCAGCAGGGACATTCAGATTTACAAACTGCAATCTTCTCTTTTTACAGAGGAGAAACTGTGGCAAAGATGTGCCTGAGGAGCCAGCATTGGGCTCTCTGACTTGTCTGCCAGTGCTCTCCCCCACTCCACCACTTACCCCCTCCTCCACATATGGTGGCCACCACTTTAGGACTCAGCCATATTGTCCTTTCATAGTGAACCCTGCGTTGCTTTAAGGACTTTCTCTGGACCTTTCCAGTGCAGAATTTCCTACTAGTGTTTAAATCAAAGCCAAGAGCCCACAGTGTCACCATTCCCAAAAGCCCGCTTCAACCTGCCACCCTTATTCAGTCAGGCCTGGGACAACTGGACTGTATTGGTGAGCCAGGGAAGTTGCCCCCCAGGCTGAGCTGACCCCCTTAGTGAACCAGAAGGAAGCTGGAGCCCTCCAGACCTCATGCTTAAGGTGGCTCCTGGGGGCAGAAAGAAAGGGGGAAGCAACAGGTATGGGCTGGTTAGGCAAAACAAGAGCACACAGCCCTTCCAAAGCGAGGCTGACACTGCCATAACCCTCATTGGTCCACTGCTGACCACAGGCCTGGCGCCAGGCCCTGGGCTCAGAGGCCCCAAGGCCAGCATAAATGTCAGCCCGGCCTGCCCTCAGGGTGCTCATGAGGCCACTGCCTGGCTTGAGAAACTCCAGTTCAGGTGAATTGGTGGGAGGACCAGAACTTGGGACTGATTCTGATGTGCAGAGAAAAGAAAGATATGGAGGGGGCCTCTCAGGAGCCGGTACAGTGTTGCTGTTTCTAACAAACCTGATTTATCTGCTCTGGGGTATAACTCCAGTGTTACTCCAGTTTCTCATTGATGCATCATTTTCATTAATTTCAAGAGATATCTGAGCTCCAGATTCTTCGGTTCTTGCCACCCTGGACTGGATAGTCACACCGAGGAGGTCCACAGTAAATAAATTAGCAAACAAAAGGGCAAGAATGTGTCCCTTTGTGATAAGTGCTTTTGGAGAAAAGAAAACAGGCCTATAGTGCAGAGTGCCTGGGGGCTAAGCCCAGAGACTTCGGTGACCTGGGAGAGTGTTGTCTTAAGCAGAGGGAAGGGCAGGTATAGAAGCTTGAGATGGGAACAAGTGCCCTAGCGTTGGGGAGCTGGAGATAGGGCCAAAGTGGGGGAGGGAGAACCTCAGAGCCTTTAGCTCACCCAACTCGCGTCTACCTCCGGGTTCTTACTCCCCTGCCCCCAGCAGAGAAACCACTCCCCCACCCCCACCCCCACCCCGTAGGAGCGGGGCGGCTGTTGTGTGAATATCTTGGAAACATTTGTTTTCCAGTGAACCAAACTTCCTCCCAGCCCACCACCATCCAAGAAAACCTGGCAGAGTTTCTAGATCAAAGTTCTTATTAGGTGGATCATCTTTTTGACCCAGTCCCCACTTCAAGATGTTTCTTAGTGATCTGCACTCTCCCATTCAATCCTTTTCTGCCAGAGGCCCGCGCCCCTCCCCTCCCCGCCGGACGCCCCCGCGGGTCTCGATGGGCAGATAGATTAGAGCATTTTTTTTCCCTGTGGCAATTTCCATCGCGCAGGCCCCGTTCATCTGGTGACCCGGCGGGCGCTGAACTTGGCGAGGTGGCCCTGCAGGGTTCACTCGGATGTCACGGTCCGGCCCGCAGGGGTCACAGGCGGGTCAGGCCCCAGGACTGGGAATGGGCCCCAGGTCACGCCCCCATCCCAGCTTTGCTCCGCCGCTGAAGGCCCTGTCCAGAAAGGGGCGGGCCCGGGGTTTCTGAGAATTACCTCCAGCGATTCTAGCCCTGGATCCTGGCGGTGCCAGAAGCTGGCTGGTACTGTTTATGTCGCCGGATCGTTGCAAGAAATGGCAGTGGGAGAGATCCGTCTTGAGAGCCTCTGAAACGCTGAGCAGAGTTATGGAAAATACCGAGAGACTCCGAAATATGCCCTGTGGCGATTGGGCTGGAAGCGTGCGGGACTGTGCAGCTCCCTACCAGCCCGCAGACATTTTCCTATCTCGCCTGGTTTGGGGGCTACCGTGCCCACCGCGGGCCAAGTATTTAACAGCTCCCCAAGATCAAAGAGTTTTCCACCTCCAAGAAACACCTTCGGCGCATAAGGCGCACTCCTTTGAGAGCCGGTGTCCAATTTTTAAACAAACCTACACCATTCTGTTTCGTTTTCTGCCCCACCGGTGCGTTCAGCGCTCAAACTTGGGGGGCGGCTGGCCCCGGCTGGTGGAAGCGGTGCGGCTCGGCCAGGTGGGAAGCCGAGGGCGCACGTGCGTCTCCCACAGTGCCTGAGCCCAGGCGTTGGCTGCAGTAGCAACTGGTTGGGGGAAATGGAGTTATTGGGAGGTCAGAAACCTCCCTCCCTCCCCGCTTCTCGGTACGGATTTCCTCAGCACTCCGGTTAGCGGTCTAAGCCTGGGACCGAGCACCCCTCCCACCTGGATGGTTTTACTCTGGGTGGAACCGGGAGCGCGGAGGAGGCCTCCTGTGTCCCGCGCCCAGGTCACCCGGTAAAGCAGTCCAAGTGCCGGGAGCTAGAAAAAGTACTTGCAACCAGAGGCCCCTTTTCGAAACCCCGAGGTACAGACCAGTCGGGAATGATCGCCTCCCTATTGAGGAGGAAGAAACCGGTGTAAGGATGCGTGAGGACTCCCCAAGGTCATGAAAGCACAGACGGAACCGAGTTCGGAAACCAGACTCCAGGGCTTGCTTTCTTTTGTCTCTTTATCCTGCCAGGGCTAGGAACCCTCTTCCCCCCTGCTTAATTGGGCTGCAAGCCCCAGGGCCCTGAGAATCTGCCGGCCGAGGCCAGATCTTAGCATGCTGCTTGGTGGGCTGTGGATGAATTGCCCCTGAGGTCCCCTACGGGGGCATCGGAGTTCGCGTCTGATTTGTGCGGGGTTGCGCCAAAACCCCCGCAGGGTTCTCAGAGACCTGGAGACTCTTGCATCCCTGAGCAGAACCTTTCAAGACAGGACGAGTGCTGGCCTCCTGGAGGGGCTGGAGAAGGGGCTCAAACACCAGCCGCTCGGGTCTCACTCCCGACCGCGCTCTCTTGGATCCTGGCTCAGGGCTCCTCCGTGGGATCTTCGGAAGCCCAGGGTGGCCTGCGGTTTTGCTCTGCGTTCTGGACTTCAGTTTTCCCACCCGTGGGACGAGGAGCTGGACTCGCCCCTGAATGCAGTTCCCTTTGCTTCCCCAGCAGGTGGAAGGGAGCCCACCCGCGCCTATAAAAGGAAAGCCAGGGAAGGCAGCCCCGGGCTGGGACTGCCTGTCGGGTCCAGCCAGAGGGATTCCAAAGAGACCGGCGGGAAGCCCCAGGCTTGTAGTTCTGGCTCCCCGGAGCCCGGCTCTGCCCCAGCCGCGGTCCGGGAGCTCCGCGCGCCCTAACCGGGGGGAGGCGGCTGCTCCTAACCCCGCACCTCGGGAGGAGGCGCGCTCGGAGGGAAACCGCCGCAGCCTCCTGTGCCTCCGCGCTTAACAAACGGTTAAAGATTTTGGGCAGTGCCTCGCGGGGGGGGAGGAGCCAGGGGCCCAATCCGCAATTAAAGATGAACTTTGGGTGAACTAATTTGTCTGACCAAGGTAACGTGGGCAGCAACCTGGGCCGCCTATAAAGCGGGCGCGCCGCAGGGTTCGGAGCGCTGGAGACGGCGGCAGGTGGCGCGGGAGGCCGTGGCGCGCGATGGGGCTCCCGGCGCTGCTGGCTAGTGCGCTCTGCACCTTCGTGCTCCCGCTGCTGCTCTTCCTGGCCGCGATTAAGCTCTGGGACCTTTACTGCGTGAGCAGCCGCGACCACAGCTGTGCCCTCCCTTTGCCCCCCGGAACTATGGGGTTCCCCTTCTTTGGGGAAACCTTGCAGATGGTGTTACAGGTAAGGAAGCTTGGGGCGGGACTGGCTCGGCACCAACTTCCACCGAAGCCCGGGTGGGCGCCCCAGGGCGGGAGGTGACACAGGCTGGGATCAGGGATAGACCGTGGCGCGGCGCTCCTCGGCGCCCCCTCACGCC